ACATGGTCCCATTTCATACCATTTTCCATCATTTCAAATTGCCGTATGGGCACTCCTCCATTATTTTCTTCCTGCTTTAAATTCTGCAGTAGCTGTACCGTCGTATTCCTGGCCCGATTTTGGGGACGGTGGAATTGGCCCAAGTGAAACCTTTCTTTAAATAACATGTAAATAAGAAATAATGTCTGTAAGACAACCTTGTGCAAAAATTGTGCCCTCTGTCTTGTAAATGTACATGGCCAAGAACCATTCAGCCTTCAGTTAGTGGCTTTCACATATGTATAAAGGAAAACTTATTAATGCCTACCAGAAGGCACGGTGTTAACCTGCACTGATTTTCTTGGTACCCTAAATAAAACAAAAGAACTTTTATTTAAGTCCTTAAATTCAAAATTTGACTTGGAGCTACTTGAGAGGTAGAAGGGAGCCATGTTTGGTAGGAACTCAGCCTCTGCCAGTGCCAAATCCATGCATATGAAATCTCACTAGAAAGTGGCCAAGAGAGCTTTACTCATTGTTTTCACAAACCCATTAGAACCGGCAAAACTTCCTTATAATTCCATTTCATCAGCGGGCCTTACTCCAAACCCCTCCTGGGTAATTGCACTACCTGTAATTGGCACAAAGAATTGCTGAGCTAATTTCAGAGAATTTACGCTCTGACTATCTGCTTTAGAAAGATCTTGCTGAGGAAATGGTAGGGGAATTATCCCGTGGAGTTTTGAATGCAGAAACTCATTGCAAAAAAAAAAGTGCTGCTGGCAATCAGGTGGAACAATTCCCACTCTCCTACGGTGCAGTGGAAGCCCCTGAACCAGGGTTCCTGGCAGGAGCAGAGCACTCCAGACTCAAACAGTCCTCTTACTTCACAACTGCCTGGGCCATGATAAGCTACGGTGGCTGCTCCAGGGCTTGTGCTATGTGTGTGGACAAGCCCTTTGCCTTTATCTCTACCTGATTCCAGCAGGCAGGACAATAAAAAGGACAATCCTGTCATTTCCTAGCTAGATCTAACTAGACTGTGCTTCAGAGCAGTATTGGAAGGTACTTACTTGTCTGCAATGTGAAACAACAGCTCAGAGGCTACTGAAAGGAAAGCCTTCAGCTCATAAAAATAATTAAATTGGCAGTTTCATTGGAGGTCAAAACCACAGCTCAACACAGGCCTTCTGAAACCACCTGATTAAAGATGAGTAAGGGTACAACATACCTTATCATCTGTATAGCCCTGCAAATGACTAGCTGCCGGCCCTTTACCTGGGTTGCAAGGCAGCTGCTGAGCTGCTGCTGGAGATCTACTCACCGCTTTCCACCACGTCCCCGGGGAATGGAGTCCACAGTTCTCGCTGAATTCTAAGCAGCAGGAGTCTGGCACCCGGGTTGTATTGTACACTTCAAACCAGTCAGTGTAGTTGGAGACTCCACAGCATCTGAACTGGAAAAAGAAGCAGCGAGATGATACTGTAAGTATGATCTGTCACTGACTTCTGCTCATTCTGACATCTTCCTCCTGGAGTTGGAATCAAAATTCAGTGCATTTCAATTACACCAGCAGAGGTTTGACATTTTAAAGAAATACAGTATTTCCTCAGCCTTACCCAAATAGACCCTTTCCTCCACTCTTTTCTATGTTTAGTTATGGTCTTGTATGTAGCTAATGTTGCTATAAGAAGCAAAGGCACCTGTTTGCAGTGGCAGGACACTGCAGGAGCTGAAACGATAACCCCAGTCAAGTGCTGAAGTTAAGAGTTGATGTGACTGAGCAGGTTTTTAACAATCGTTTGCAGCTTGTTGTCAGGAAAAAAAATTATTTGAGATAGAGCTACAGCACCCAGGAGACGAAGATACTGGGGTCTCTACAGTACACTACTTCTGAAATCATGATTGAAGTTAACGAGGCAAGTTTCTCTCTAAGCTGTTAATTACTGATCACCTCTGAAAGTCATTGTCAGTCAGTAAAAGATGTATTTCCTCCTCTTCTCTCTTTGGTGCAGTTCCTTAATGTCATCATCTGATGCTGCTAAATAGTGGTGCTTTAAGTGTCTGCATACAATGAGACACTGTACAATGTCAGTGCTAAATCAGAAAGTTTGTTCAACTTTGGTAGCAGGATGAAAGGTACAGGAAATGTATGTAAAAGTACAGGGAATGGCTCTGCGACCATCTTCCCCCTCTGGGAACTGGTATATTTCTGTGATACAAAATAAGCTAAGACTCATTACCATATAGATGTATACACCATCTGTCACTCCTGTGCTAACTCAAAAGTATGAATTTGTCAGTATTTAGACACTGTACCACTAATGAGTAAAACAAGACGACACTGGGCTGCAAAACTGCTCTCTGCCATTGGCAGTACTTCACACTTTTTGAAGGCTATGCCAGCCACCTACTTAGCCCCAAAATGACTTGCCAAGATCTTATTTTTTAAATGTGATTTTACATAAGCCTGTGCAGTATTTTTTGCGTCCCTATAGAGACCATTCCTTCTGTTTCTGATAGACTCATAATCGTGCAGACATTTGCATCACCAGGACCAAGGACCTAATTCAGATCCTGATACTTACACTGGCCAGAGGGAGAGTTTTCCCTATGTACACAATAGTTGTAGAGTCTATGGACACAGAGGGCTGAGTGTTCAGGTCTCGTTGCACATACAAGATCTGCCATTCAAGACCAATAGAGGGCAGAGGTGTCACACGTTGCCTTACGCATTAAAGCACTGGCAGAAAGTAGTCCATGATAGAGACATTTCAGTGCTCACAGTACTGCGTTTCTTCTGCCAAATAAAAGCCAGAAATCTTTCCCAGACTAACATCTAACCCCGCAAGGTTCTGCTCAGAATTCTGATTTGGTCCATAGCAGGAATCAGTCCTTAGCTTGCAACTGTTTGATTTGCAAGTTTATGGGCTTCATTTTCTACGAACTGAGTTGAAAGTAAAAAAAAGTTTGTGACTTTCTTTTTTCCTCTATGTGCCTGTACACAAGACAGGAACTACGTGCATAACGGGTCCCAAAAGTGGATAGGAGCACATGGAACACATGGCATGCATTTGAGGAAAGCTGGTTTATCTGGAAATCTAACAAGAAGGTCTTGCAGGCTGTCATCATTAGAGTCAGGAGGCAGTTCTTTGATAGACAGTGAGAAGTGACAGCTTGTAAATAGCAAGCCTTGAAAACGTGGCTCATCTGTGATGTAGAGAGTGCAACAGTAAGGGCTGAGACATTTGAGTGATGTTCTGGCCAAACACAAGTGTCACAAGTTTGCATAAATCAGGACTAGACCACTTCTCCCCATAATGTTGCATGGCTGAGGGTGTCAAAGTCTGACAGACTAAGGAGATGAAGATGAAGTACAGGTTTTGCAGTTAAGGGTTCACTAACAGTGTTGAGAACAGCTGTTCCTATGGAGCCTGTGAAGCAGAAGGTGGCTAGGCCATGATCTTGGGTTGGAACTCCAAAGAGTAAAACTCCTTGGTAAAGCCAAGGGTAAGCCGAGGGGATGCAGTTGCAAAGACAAGCTGCAGTCAGACACACATTGCCTGCCTGTGCAGGTTCTCTGTGAATTGTACAAGAGCAGAGGATTAAATATTGATGCTTGCCTGCCACTGCTGGCAGACAAGGCAGTCCCAGCAATGGGAGAAAGGCCTAAGAAAAGATTGAGGGTAAAAAAGAATGAAGTAGCATGAAGATCCAGTCTTGGGTCTGGAAGAAATAATGTCTGGAACTATAACTGGAAGAGATGTCATGTTGGAAGACCAATGACGGATGAGTGGTGGAATTAAGCAGTGGATGATGCACAATCCTAAAGAAGAGGAGGTAATGAAGGCGAAAGAGTGCAAACACCACAGAGACCAGAGAGTGCACAAGCAAGTGAGCAAGCGGTGTTCAATGAAGACCAAGTCAGGTGAACGGCATCTCTAGGGAGCAGAGGCACTGACCCATGGCCGTAGGTCAAAGAGGCATGAAACAAGGAAAGAAGCAGCAGTGGGACTGAATGGGTCACCAGTACAGATTCAGCAAAGGGGTCCAACTAGAAGCCAAAAAGATGGGTAAGCTGAGAGCTCAGTAAATCCAGAGACCTCATTATGGAGGCCCAAGTAGAGAAGAGAGAGTATGGGAGTGATTTTGGATCATGTGACAAGCGGCTGATTTATCCTGTATGCATGAAGCTGAACAATAAGTAGCCAAATTGTTGAGGGACTTGAGGGACTATTAGAAGAAAGGGGAATATTGAGGACAAAGAGCAAAATAAGAGGATTTTTTACAGTCCTCTTAGATTTCAGAGCAATGTTCTCTTTTTAAAATTTACAAGGTTTCTGAGCAAGGATAGTTGGAAACAGTCCCACACTTGGAGGATGGAGAAAGCTCAGGTCACATAAAGCATGATTTCTGTCACCAGCAGTTTGTTGTAGCCATTTACACCAGACTTCATGTTCTTCCACAAAGGCTAATGTTCTGCCACTGCCAGAAAGTTAAACTGCCTGACTGTCATGAAGCAATTACAGACTTGCCACAGCCGCATTCATTCTGTGGTCACATTTAAGGTCCTGTGTTAATCCCTTCACTAGTTAAGTGATAAAATTAGACAAGGTTGCCTAACTGATTTGAGCTGTTCCTAGTTTCAGTAGGGAACAATGCACTTATGTTTTTTAGCAACAATTACAACTATTATTGCTTATTTTGGGGTACCCAGACTAACACACTTTAAGAGGGGGTAATCTGTAGAAAATGTCAGCTACTGTCTTGAAGAGCAGTAATGTTAAGTCACCTTGACTTGAACACCTCAAGTCACTTGATTCTCAGGCTTGCAGCTGTGAAGGAGCACGCATGATTAGATGCAATTGTGCCTGCCCACATGAACAAATGCGGGTACTTACAGCATAAGGTGACAGTCGGGTAGTAATTCTGGGGACACATGTACGGTGTTTGGCAGAGTTGCTCAAACAAGCAAAAGCTTGTCAAATGCCTCTGAGTATCTAAGCTCCTGCTGCTAAACATCTCCAGGACTACTGACAACACGCTGCTGTTTGTTTCACATGTTTCATGTGGGAGGCTCTATCTCCCGAGATATCAAAACACGTTTTTTCCCCTTCCTTGTTAAAGAGACTTAAATCGCTCCCCTATTGATTACCCGTGGGGTTCTGAAGCGGTTCGTCAGTTCCCAAGAGCTCAGGACATGCAGGGGCTGCGCAACACAATGATGCAGTCCAAGGTCGTGCTGCTGCAGTGTGCTTTTTCCAGCCAAGCAGCACCCAACAGCACTTGAGGTCTCTGTGCTGTATTTATGGAATGCAATGCTGCTTACAGGTAGCTTTATTTTTGTGTTAACAAGTAATTGCTGCTCTAGCATGGGGTATCTAGGGCTGGTAATTGATGTTAAATACAAAGTTTCTGTCAGTGCAATAGAAATGTAAGGAGTTGGATTCCTGTATGTATTTTATGGGCAATCCTGGTATTGAAGGCTAAGTAGGCCTTATTTTCTTTGCCAAATTCCTGCAAAATCAGCCAGGCTGGAATAGGGTTCATGAAAATAAACAGACACCCAATCCTTGTTGCAATTCCTGGTTCTCCAATTTTTGGGAATGTGACAGAGAACTAGGGATGGGGTAGGGTGGTGCCTTTTATTCGCCTTTTTCCTCCTTCACTGTAAAAAATGTTTAATGGGTGGTTTAGATTACTTCAGCAGTAATCCTAAAGTATGGTTTGATCTAACAGAATCAATGACTGGGGTAGAGAGAGAGAGGTCAAATTTTGTTCTCAGTTACAGTGGTCTAAATAGACATGAAAGGCATTACACAGCAGTAAAAGTGAGCTGAATTTGCTCGCTTTAGTGAAGCTAATGTGTTTTCTGCATGCCTCTCGAATTACTGCCTGGTTAGTTAAAAGAAGAAGTATTCAAATATTGATCACAAAGATGTTTGGGATGAAGCAACATTTTAAAAATTAATGCCTATTTCTCATTTCCTAATGATCTCCACCTGTAACTTTAACCAGTCCTGGTTGGTAAGGAGTGTAATGCAGCTCAGGGTAACTTATATCCTAAACTATTAGAACTTTAGTCATGTTTGAAATCACTTTGTACACTTTCATAGTCTTCAGTCACAACACACAAAAGTCACTGACTGGTGTTTCTGATCCTCTTAAGGTCTGAAACACCATTGAGAAGGCCTGTGAGCTTGGTTTGCTGAAGGTATTAAAAATAAATCAATAAAATGTTCTAATTTGAAGCAGCTCCCTGACCTAGAGGCTTAATACAACTGCAAAATGGGTCTAGTGCTTTTCCTCTAACGTGTATGCAGCTCAACCTAACTCCTTTATCAGTAATCTGAACAGAGCAGTCATGGACCAAAACTACAACTCCCTCCTTAAAGATGGGCCTGATGGACCCTGTTTTTACCTTGTTCCCAGTTATTTAGGAATAGTAGGCTTCAGTTAAAAAAAAAGAAAAATATTTCTCAAGGCACAGATGCTTCAGAGAAGAAAGCCCCTCCCCCGAAAAAGGTGCTCAGGCCTTTCACACTTGATTAAGAAATACAGTAATCAGCACTCACAACTCACTGTGTGCACACCGGGTGTCCATACCCCCAGTCAAAACACCCCTCTGATTTGTGATCAGCCAGCCCCACAGAAAGGAAATGCCATCTAAACGTGGTTCTATTTCTAGAAAAAAAAATTTTCCCCTTACCAAAGGTTGCCGTACACAGTCATACTTAGTGACCTCATGGCAGGGGTGGTCTCTATCTAAGCTAATAGTAGGAGAAACGTAGAACTATGCCAGAGCTTAAATCCCTCGTGTCTGAGCCTACTACTTTAACCACGGTGCCCACTTTCTGCTCAAGCTCTGAAAAATACTTTTGCAAAGAAAGGAGCATGAATGCAGAGAGGACAAGGAAGAAGGACTCATTATGATTTCTGCTACTGTCATGTTTTTCACATGCCATGCTTTCTTCTGCGCCTGCTGTTTTCCATCCACGTACAGACATAGCCCATAGTTCAACCAATGACTGGTATCTTCTGGCCCCGTTAGAAAAGTCAGTGCTGAGACATGGTCCTATAATGTCAATGTGAATACCTCTACTGTGGGGTTTTTGAGAGCTGTCTCTTAGGAGCCAGAATGCAAACAACAAGCCTGGGCTGGGACTTTCCTTTCAGAAAGTCCCCTGTATTGCCCTAATCCTCCTATCAGTGACTACACTCTACTGATTAGGGATGTAAGGGATAACAATTATTACTGAACACAAAAAATAATACTTGGCATTTACATAGCACTATTCAACTGCAAAGTGTTTTACATAATTAACCATGCTGGGATTGCCTTCACTGCACCACTGCAATATGCTATTCCTAAATAGTTTTGAAAGATACATGTGAAAGCCAATTATGCAGAGCAATAAAAATGGATCTGTGGGAGTTCTATGCTTTTCTCCTCAGTGCCCAGCACGGGGAGCACGGAGACTTTAACACTATGGTACTGTCAAGAAAGCGCATGGTAATTTCACAATTGCCATGTTTGAAAAGACGGTGATGTAACATGAGTGTATGTGGCTTTCAAAATGGCACTTTTCTATTATCTTTTGTGCTCCTAAGACCTAGCTAACATTAGTTTAATCTGAAATTTATAAAATGCTCTTTAAACTCTAATAGGTTGCAAGGCCAAAAGAATCATTAAGACAACTGAGCATGATCTGTAGCACTACACAGAGTGCAGGCTATGGAGTCCTGCCTCAAACCCGAGCTTGTCACTGAACAAGACCATTTCTTTTAGATAAAAAAACCCTGTCTTGACTTTAGAGAAAAAGAATCCACCATCCTGCTGTACAGTGGCATCCTACCATCAGATATCTGTATCTCAAGTTCTTAGCACTTGATTCAATTACAGGGCCCTTTCCTTTCAAAAACCTTTTCCCTTCCTGCTCTCTATTTAAGGACTGCAATGACATCACTACTTCATCTTTTCCTGGTAGCTTTTAAAATTTTTCATCATAATGTAAATTTTCAATAGTCTCATTATTCTTTTACATATTTTCTGAATCCAATCCAACTTGTGAATATCTTGAAAAAATCTGATTAGGTGAACTAGACAGTATATATTGTTACACCTATTTTACAGAAAGGGAAGCAGAAGCATGGGGTTTATATCCTGCAAGTCCTCCAAATAATGTTTCCCCCCCCACCTTTGCTATATGTTTTTAATAGTTCTTGGGGTGTCACTGATTATAACCAGAGTAATATTTACTGCAAACATCTTAATACTAGTAATTTTTAGTATATTTTCACTAAGCAGAGTTAAGTTAGTGTAAAAGAGTAGAAATTCTAATACTGTTTGATATAAGCAATGATACTAAAAATTTTATCTACGTTTCATATGGCTTACTCTTGGGCTAGCACCACAAAATGCATTTCTCTTGTCAGTAATTGATGCCTTCTCATATTTGATCATAGAAGAAGATAGAAAGATCATAGGAAGAGAAAAATATTAACAATCTTGCAAGATGCTGAGGCCTTTTAAAGGTAATTGAAAGAACCTTCCACATGCAGTTGTTAGGACGCGGGACTGGAAGGCTTATTAGTTTGTTTGCTGGACCTGAGCTGTTTGTCTTTCACACACAGTACTGTTGCTGTCAACCTACTGCACTCAATACAGACAGCTCCCACAGCCCCAGAGATGCACATGGAGTTTGGCCAACTAGTTCTTTTGTTCTTTTAGTGACCCCAAAATGTTAATTTCTCCGACCTTTTCTTAGCAGCCTGCTGGTCCTGTTATCTTGCATCATACAGAAGAGTATATGTTAATCTAGACACTACCAGACGGAAAGATGTTTGGGATTTCAGCCCAAATGGCAATAGAGGAAGTAAAGGGTAAATGAGCAGGTTTATTATATCAGAATGTGGTAGGTAGCCCATCGATCATCTCAAGTAGTGCATATAATCTTGGAAGCATTTGGAGAGGTTATCATCTTTGGCCGATTTAAGACATTTTTGGCTGAGGCAAGACTAAAGCCCTGCCTGTCTGTACCATGCTAGCACCTCTGGAGAATTTGAGAAAGGTACACAAGATTTTCTGAGTGAAGCCAAGGCAGTACAAGTCCTTCTTCCTAAAGCAGAAGAAAAGTTGGAGCACTTTTCCTCATTCAAGAAGCAGAGAAAATTGCATCAGAAAGATCACCCCCAAGAGGACTGATTGAACTGAATATGAAAAGAGAAGGACAGAGCTAATAAACCTGAACTGTCAGTGATATTGTTTCCTCAGAAAGCCAGACAAGGACAAAAGGAGGAAGCCAGCTACAGCGTTCACCAGTCCCTTATGAGACAAACACTGGCAGAATGCTGTCAGAGAATCAGAAGGATGCAACAGCGGTGGCAACATAGCAAAAAGCAGTCCCAGCCCATCTGTGATGAGGAATGAATTAATTCTGCTACGAAAAATGTACTGAGTGTAGGAGGAAGTTGCAAACACCATGGCGGGGTTCCATTTTGAACTAGTGGAAAACAATGGCAACGAAAGGAGATAAGACAGAAATGAAAAGGTGTTGAAGTGGTTCTTTGTTATTATGCTATTGCTCTTCATTGTGACATAAGCTGTCCCTTTGACTTCAATGAGAAGGTACTGCTTGTTTCCTATCTGACCATCTCCTTCACTCTCCACACAGCAAAAAACTATATGTTATTTAGGTGTCAACACAATATAAATTTTAAAAGAAATAAGCTATTCTGGTCAAAGGAGAAATAAATAAAAATTACCATTTGTTATCAAATCCAGAGAGTTCAGTTGCTAAATGGGCTGACTGGGTGGGAGGAAGAGATTGGCTTGGGATCTGGAGGTTTAATATTACAGAACCCAAAGGGTAAAGAGGAAGGAAAAAAAAGTTCAGACTTACATCTGTTTGAATGATGCTCCATGCATTAGTTAGGCCAATATTTCCATCTGTCCCATACAAATGAAGCCCTTTCTTCAGGTCCCGCTGAGCATACTTGTCAATCTAAAACCAACAACAAAAGACGCAAAAGTCAAAATTTGCTTAGTACCACATTTCAGAATCAAAGTGCATGGAGCAGGGAGATGTTGAACAACAGTCCTATAGTGAAATGAATAAAAAGTTAACCAATATTTTCTAAAGCCTTTCTCCAGTAGAGCTGGTATCTATTACAGCTGTCTGCATTTTGTAAAGAACATGAGGAGTTCCTGTTCTAAGTTAAATGAGTCATGTTTTCCATCACAGACCTCCAGAACATCTTTTTCCTTCTCACTTAACCACCAAAGTACTATAAGTTTAATCACTCATTTTTTGCAAATGAGGCCTATATATGAAAACATTCATCTACCCACAGCATTTCCTTTTAGCTTGATATCTTTAATTGTGACCAAGTACCCCTCAGCATCTTCCACATGCTTTCTGGGAGATCAACAGCAGTATTAGCATTGTACTGATACTGTGAATTGTGTTCATTATATTGGCCAGGATACCCCATTTCTTACAGCAGGATGGACATAGTTATATTGAAGCAGCAGGGAATGAGCTATCCAAACCTCAGGACAGACAGGATCTAAGAATCCAGTTACTAAATGGAGCTGCTCTTAAATAAATGCATTTTTGTTGATTTAATGAAAGTACAAAGTTCTGCTTTAGCGGCTTTTGCAATTGAAGATGGTGGTTTCTTGTTGAGAGTCTTTGCTGGTAAAGCAGGCTATTGTTGGATCTACTGGTCACCACAAGCTAGTATCCAAAATGATTCCAAGTGCTTCTTTCCCAGTCTAACCATACATACACATTTCTACAGAATCAAGCAAACACAAAAAAATAAGTCAATAATAAAAGGATATTCACAGTTTTTCTGTTGTAATTTAAAAGCACAGAATAGTGCTGCTCAAATATGCCCATACGCAGCCCCCTTCCCTGTGTGCTTGTCAATGTTAGTGGTCTGTTTGACATCAGAGGTACAGCAAGAAGGGTGAACAGGCCTGTCCCATTTTCTTCTCCATCAATCCGCTATAAATCTGACTGCAAAATACAGTGCCACTCTGAGATATTTCTGCTGCAGCAGTCAAAAAGAAAACCAAAATTAAATTCACAACTTGCTTCATGGGGACAGTCTCTTCCATATTGGACAACAGACAGACATGGTGTATTTTCTAGTGATTGCCCCTCTGATATTAGTCATTCCAGCTGAGGAGGGTCTAAAATGAAGTAACCAATGCTAATTTTGAGTTAACAGAGGGAACAAAGGTATTCTGCTTCTACCATACACTTGGACTTTCCTTCTGCTTTATTCAGTTTAAGTGTTTTCATTTGCTCCTGGAAAAAAAAAAGTGGATGCAAAGCATCTTCCACAGTGTAAAAGAGGAATTTTCAACCCACATCATTGTAATTATTATGGGGTAAATGTAAAGCTACTAAGCAATGTAACTCAAGAAACTATGACCTCAAAAGTTCATCATGTCCAGGAAATCTCTGCTGTATGTGCAAAGGGTTGGTCTCTCCAGTTCTTCTGTTTCCTTCCCAAAAGTTTACCACCATCAAGCTGAGCCACTAATAAAATAGCTTTGGGACAGTATAGGAAAGATGTACAACTTAATCTCAGCACCTTAATTGTCATGCAAGCACTTTCTTGTGGATGACTGTCTTGAACGGTAGGTGTAATTATCATGTAAGCTGCTTTTGACTTTATACAGAGATTACACATAGACACTAGCACGTTAATTAGAAGAGAAAACCAAAGCTGAAAGCTATCATTAAATTTGGAATTAGTTGAGAAAATTATCAGCAATAAATGAAAAACTTGTGAGTATTTGGGATTCCTAGCATTCATTTAAGAATTAGACTGAACTGCTTTTCAGCTCTTCACTAACCCTCAGCTTCCTGTGTCTTAACTGGACCTGTTGTGGTCTCGAGCAGAGCCATCAATTAGAATGGAAGGGCACAGTTGTGTTGCTAGTCTGAGAGAGGTTTTGAAATTTAGTTAGTGTCCTACAGAGGTAGTGAGGTAAATTAATTGTTGAAAACCAAATTCTTAGTCAGAAAGGGACAGAGATGAAGAGGAACAGCATAGCTGAGGGCAGGTGGGGACAGAAGTCTAGATCTCTTGCCTTGAAGATGAGAGAGAAAGGTCTATCTGGAACATTCATTTACCACATCTGAGAAAATCTGCCGTGTAAAGTGAGAGAGCTGTGCATCAGCCTACAGCTCATATCAACCACTAATCTGGAACAAGAGAGAGAAGGTCAAATAAAACAGTGATGCTCATCTGAAGGGCAAATGCCATGCTACCAAAAGGATGCAAAATGCAAAGTTTGCATTTCCTCGCTCAAATTTTGCTTTGCAAACCAATGCAGTGGCTCAGCACGATGATCCCTTTTACCAGGGCTCACAGGCCATCCCTGTTACTGCAATCTTCCTTTCCTGTTTGAGAATAATAATATTAATAATAATATAGCTTACAATCAACATTTATAAAGTACTTCAAGATCAGGAACAACATTTTGTTAGTACACATGATCTCAAGAAAATG